AGTACGTTCATTTCAGAGGCATAAAACATTTCTTATAGACCAGTTTTTATGTAGATATTCACATAAATAGAGTAAAGAATTACTAAACACTTAGAAAAATTTAAATATTTAACATTTGGCATTTATTTGCCATGTATAATGCTATCTTTCACCATCTGCACCAGAATAAATTTGCATAACTCTTTCTACTACTTTTTAAGGATTTTATACATACTGGTGCAATTGCTATGTGCCTAAAATGTAGGATGTTATACACCTTTAATAATAATTTTAGCATAGAAAACTTCTCTAAATTGCTTAAAATTTTTTAAAAATTGAAAATTAAATTTTTTCAGTGCACTTAAAATATGTTATACGTATTTATGTGTAAATGTAAAATTAAGCTGGAGAACTTCCTATATGCTATAGAATTATATACTATCATTTAGGGGCGTATAAAACTGTTAAGTATAATTGCAGAATCAAACTAAATTATGGAATAACAGATAAATTTGCGTCTTTATGTTCGACGCAACTTAGTTTATTAGGTACTACAATAATTTCAATAATTTAAAATAAATTTTCTTGCCCTAAAGTTAATGCTTGAAAAATTGTAAGTTCAATTTGAATTATATAAAATAATAAAAATGATAAGGTGACGATATCCAAAATGTAAAAAAATTTTAGTTAATCAATGTACTAACAAAAACGAAATCACTTTAGCAAAATTTCTTTTGAAAAATAAATCGGAGTCTAAGCTATTTCCAATCTAGTCACATGACAATAAACATCTACTTGTATAATTGTTTTCAGTAAACTTACATAATTAAGTTCAGGCAAATATACGTTCTTGCATGCTCATTACTTGAATCTACAAATTGTGTTATAAATGGAGAAGTAAATTAGTAACGGAAGATCATGAAATATTACGACTTCGTTGTTATTGTTTTTGTACATAAAAAGATTTTTTTTCCTTCATAATCGAACAAAAAAAAATTTGGAAAAATCTCAAATCTAAATGAATTCCAAATAAATCATATTTTAAAATTTTATAATTCATCACCTTTCGGGTGAAACAAAAAAGCAAACAAATTAATTTTAGGTTTTTTTTCTTTGCTACCATTATTATGCTAAGTCTTTGGGTATATTGATTGAGTTGTTATAGAGTAATTTCGTAAGAATATTTACTAAAATCATGAATCACAAGTCGGAAGAAATAAGGAATAATATTTAGAATTGTAATACTTTATTGTATACGGTTATTACTTATGTACCAATAATAAGTTATTTTGGGAACTTTAATTTATTGGCGAAGAAAAATTCATAAAAATTTCATCTTTAATTCCGGAAATTTCTGTATTTTTCTCATAAATTGAAATTCAAATATAATAACATAAGTGTACATTATGTCTAAAATACAATAAATTTTTAATTTTTAATTAAAATTAATTGTAATTATTAATTATACTTATTAATAATATGTAGACATACATATATACATATATAATTTTGCGATTAACCACAAAAGAGAAAAATTATTAACATGTTTTTTTTGTCTTTAAGAATGATTCTGACAGCCATCTCATCTTAATTTTAATCACGATTCTAATTATAATTGTACAATTTTTGGAATTAAGTTCCGGTAAAAAATTAAATATAAAGATAATTAGTATGATGATTGATTATATTTAATTTAATTTTTCTAAATCTGATGGCATTTTGGGTAATTCCCAATTAAAAAATTTTATTTAAGAATTTATAATGCAAAAAAAAACAATTTTTATTTACTTTAAATTTCTGGTTTTGCGCGATTCTTTATCGACAATTACACGACTTTCAACCATAATAGATAAAAATTGATTGTTCTTTATTTAAGTTCATATTGATTTTATAGTTTTTCCGAAATTTATTTATAAACTAGGTACTGCTTACATAATATAATACTCTTTCAGAGTAAATATGGGAATAGTTTTGAAACCCTATTTTGGTACGCAAATTTTATTTTACAGGAATTAACCTTTGATATTTAAATATTGCATAGAATTAATGCTTATTCATATAAAAATGTGAACTAAAACTCGAACTAGGATACGGAGCTTTACTTCACTTAATTAATTACCACATAGTTTTTAAACTACTCCACCGTAAAAAACTTATTCTAACGTACAGTTGAAAGTGTTATAAGCTTGGAATGTTATACATTAAGAGTACCTATTTTCTAATTTCAAAAAAAAACCATAAAAAATCCATAAAATTAATTTATCCATTGTGTTCTGCAATTTAAAGATTTCTTAAGAAATTGCTTAAAAATAACTTTCCTATAATTCTTGTAGCAAAGTTCTTTTTTAGCGAAATTGGAATTGAAGGACTCATTCCACTATTTTCATTTCATTACAATTATTTGAATTATTTGAAATCCAGCATTTGTAAAAGCAAAATTTTGAATTTTCATTACCTCTTTTGAAAATTCAGGAATTTTTTCAATGCCAAAATATTATTTAGCACCATTCCTTTGAATTTTTTCTCTGCTGTGTAAAATGTGTTGTTTCAAAGCCAAATTTTTACATTTACTTATGATAAATTAAATTTAACTAAATGTTATACAAACTTATTATATAAACTTGTGCAAACAATTATAAATAATAGGAAATTATTTTTAGAGAAGTCTTAAGTGAACATTTCAAAAAGAAACTAGGTACTGGAGTTAATTAGACTATTAAATAGAATTTTAATTAATATTTAATGGAAGTAAAAATAATAGTTATATAATAGTAGTCAGCAGGATTCTAAATTGAAGCACATGCATTTTTAATTCAATTAGTGACAACAAAAACCTTGTTCATATAAAGTGGGTTTGAATGCAATATTACCTACAATTTTTTTTTATTTTAGATAAAAGCCATTCGTGATAAAGTTAGATAGGGTCGTGACAAATGGTTGTTTTCATATTTTCTATTATTTTCAAAATTAGAATTGAAATGTCGCATTTAAAATTCTACCTCTGTTATGATTTTGGCGAGTTATTTTCGTTTGGTAGACAGAGCAGCTTGGTAAATTAGTTTTAAAATTTAGCGAAACCGGATTAACTAAATTAATGTAGTTTAAACATAAAAGAATTATTTTTTTCACTAAGAATGTGAAAGTAAAGCTGAAAGAAATAATTTAAATCGCCTTTTCAGTTTTAGCAGTTCTTTTTTTAAATTACACTAGTGTAACTAATTGTCGCCAATATCTTGTACGTTCCCAAAAGCAACATGGTTTTAAACCCAAATAAAATGAAAAGTTAAGCTAGGTTATAGTAGCAAATATTATATAGTAAGTGCTGCCAGGATATTAGCCCCTACTAGAGTTAGAAACATTATTATTATTAATACTATTAACTTGCTAAGATTTTTCTATATTTATTTCTATTATAGTCGGCAAAATAGTTTCAAAAATTTTAACTATGTTTGTGTAAGTTTTTTTAACTATATTTGTCATAGTTTTTTTCTTACAGTTTAATATTTCTATGGCCTTGTTAAAAAATATTTTGCGCTCAAATAACTATCATAAGAATAATATTATTAATTGAACTAAATTTCAAGCAAAATAAGTAAATATCAATTTTTTACTTATTATTTTTTGATATACACAAATTTTGATTATTAAGCTACAAACTAAAATGATTATAGTGTAAATTTTTTGTGAATTTGCGTATGTATTTATTTAAATGCAAACTGTATGCGTCTATAATTATTATGGAAAATAACCGGTCTAATTTTTTGAAAAAAAAAATATCAATAAAAATTAGACACACAGTCGGATCCGTATATAAGCAACTTGTATAAAAGTAAAACTGTTCTATTAAAAAACCAAAATTGTTTTTATATATTTTTCAACATTTTGTTCGTAATTTGCACGCTTATAAGCACATCGGTGACAAGGAAAAACCGTTTATAAACCCAAATGAGTTTGTCGCATTCACCTCTTTCTTCCTTTTATTGGGGTTCTTTTATAAGCAGAGAATCACAAATTTTATTTCAAATTTAATTTTAATTTCATCTAAAAAAAACTTAGTTTTGACATAATAGTTGCCATAAATTATGATCTTTAAGCTTAAACAGGGTGATATTTCTTGAAATGTAGAAAACAAGTAATCGAAATTTGTATATCTCTTAGAAATTTTTGTTATGCTGCACTTACATGGGCATAGAAAACTGATATAAGCAAATAAAAATCGTGCAATTTTCGATGTGTTTATAAGCAGGACACACTGTGCATACAATTTAGCATACATGTAAAATATTACACTATAGCTAAGATCATAAAATATATTTTCATATTTTAAAACTTTGTAATATTTTAAATTATTTTATGAAACAATAAGGCTTTCGAAATTTGTGTACTAAGTAAATGCAAACAGTATAATAGTTTATTAATAAAATTGTAGATTTATTTTATTTAATTCCCCTGTGATCAATTAAATTTTGTAATTTCCATTTCTAATATGAAAAAAATGTATTTTAATCATAAAAATATTAACCATAAAAATTTTTGTAGCATCGCACTAAATACAAAATTATATTCTTTGCATACTTATAGTAAACGATATTAAATAAGCTGTTCTATGCCAAAATTAATTTCGTTCCAATATTCCAAATAATTTTCAATTTTTATAGGTAACTAGATATAATTATGGTACATACTCTTACTTATCTTCTACTTTAGCATGCTTTACCGCAATAATGCTGATATCTAATTTGCATTTGCTTGGTATTGCTATAACGGATTTTATCTAAGTTTTAGTATACTTTAGAAAAGTATGTTTTTCATATTTAGGAGCAAGGAAATTCAAAATAAGTAACGAAAGTCTATATAATGACGTCAACAGATTTTTCGAATCATTAATTTTCAATTAACTAACTTTTGTAAACATATTGAAATTTTAAGTACATTATGCACACACGTATGTACATACATACGCACATGCTTTCTGTAAAAATCCACACATCTTGAATTGAAAAAAATTTTAATTTTCTTACCTTTAAGTTTGTCTTTTAGTGCACCAGTTTCAATCCCTTCATTTAGAATTGTTCCAGGTTTTTTACAAAGTGAAAAAAGGTATTCCAATTCCGTTCACTTAATGTAATAAAATTTCTTGCTTATTAAAATTTTCTTTATCTATTTTTAAATTTACTTTTTATTTCGTTTAATTTTTTTTAATAAAAATTCAATAAGCAATAAAAATAATTTTTTCGTTTTTAAAATCTTCAATGAAACAACGAACAAAAAAATGAAAAAAAAAATAAGAATTAAAATAATAAAAAAGTTTGCTTAAAGTTCCCACTGTTCGTTTAATCTAATGGTCGGATACTGAGCAGTTTTCCAAGTATACCACATAAGAATTTGAATATTTTTAAGAAAAAAACAAAGCAAAAACTCAAGTTAAAAAAATTATAAAATTAGTTGAATAAAAAAAAATTTTTCATTTATAAAAACTTTTACCGATCAAAACTTGAGCTTACCGCGCTCGCTTGAAGACTAAAAGATTCTTGCAATTTACCGTACCTTTTTGTCTTCTAAATATTTGTATAAAAAAACCGAACAACTTTGTAGCAATATCAGTTATTTTAAATAATGTATGCTTTGTACAAATTTGTATGAGATTAAAATGTATAGCAACATGTTGCTTCAACATCCAAAATATTCAGATTTAGTATGAACACAAACTAAAAAATTTTTTTGCATGTGAACTTTAGTTTAAATGGTTTGAAAGAAAAAAAAGTTTGTTTTTTTCATTTGGGTTCGTGTCTTGCATATGTAAAGACTCAAATTATTTTGGTTTATATTTATTAATTTACCTGAACCAACACTAATTAAATGCCATTGACGATTTATTGAATATTAATTTGTAGCGTTTTGAATAACGATTTAAATCTGTAACAAAAATTTTTTGGATTTTGCGTTTTGATTTTCTACTATACACTAGAGTTGATTTTTAAAGAACTGGTTTAAATAATGGTCGCAAAGTTAGTTAAGCACATTTTCGATTATCTATAAATCTGCTTTATTTATTTATTGTGTGATTTTCTTTTTTAAGCGCAGACGTTGAATCTGATATTAAATCAGATTAATAAGAGTCAGAGTACATACTCATTAGAAGAAAAAAATTGAAAGAAATTTTAATCTGTAGAATTTTCGTCAAGGCTTATATTGTCATTATTTTAATGACTTTTCAAGTTTGAAGCTTCAAAATATTTTATGAACTCTTTTAAATCTGAAATTTTTTACAAAGCATGTATAGCGTGAGCAGAGATCTCTCTGAATTTCATGCACGAAAATGGGATTACATAATAAGGCACCAGAACAAAAATCTTTACCTCTGATCATTTGAAGTCAAAAACGAACACGAATATATTTTTCGAATTATCGGAACCGCTCTGAGGTAAAAATCGTTCCATATAGTAAATAAAATGAATGAATTTATAAAACAACAAATTCTAATTTTTTTTGAATAAAGAAAAAGTTACTCTTTTTTAAATGTTTTGTGTTAAATTTTTTTGTGAACATCACATACCAGTACTTTGTTAATTGCATAGAATTTCTGTTCGATTTGTGAAAAGCCATCTGTTATTGAGAAAAGAAAAAATAAAATTTCAGATTTTGCAGCTACATAACTTTACTTTTTACACAAAATATTAAACATATTGTTATTTTGATTGCATAAGAATGCGCAAACTCAACTAAAAGAAACAAATCGATTTTCCTATTCAAAATACGAGAACATATAATTCTACTTATTTCTTTGTGTATCTAGAAATGAAAAAATTTTGTAGGTTAACCAAAACATACTGCCATAGATTTCCCATTAATTTCCCTATTCTCAATAATATATGTATATACAAAATATTAAAATTTAGTTTGTTTCCTTTCTATGTTTAATATTTAATTCACAATATCAGAATAAGTTTGCTTATATTTTTTTCAATTTATAATAATTTATCATTCGGAATATCCGGGCCATTAGCATATTTCTGATTAGAAAGCGAATACAAAGCTTTAGTATATATAAATGCTAGGAACACTTTTCCTAAAACACATTTAATGTTGTAACTATATCAAAGTGAATATTTTATGATAAAATTTTATATTCTAACATTTTTTGGAGAAAAGTTTTCCAGTAGCAATTTGATTTAGAAAGAGAGTAAAACTCGAATTTTATGCTGTCAACATTTAAGTTTAGTTTCGGAAAATCGAGTGACATTATTCTTTGACAGTATACTACTGTACTGTACACATAAAAATATACTCAATATAATAGGTATATTATATTATAACTTTATCACTCTCGAATTCTAATTTTTTTTCAAACTGCAAATAGAAAAATTCACTCAAACAAAAATTCCTCTCTTTGTACGGTCAACATTTTAGTGCGGTAGCACAAACGGAAACAACAAAATGCAAAAGAGATTTCGGTGTAATTTCGTTAAGAAATGAATACAATTGCAAAAAAATACCGTATGGACAACAATAAAGCTTCAAAAAAAATGTGTAAAATTGAGTAAAAAAAAAAAACAGAACAAAAATTTTCGTGTATACGGAAATTTTTTTCCAAAGACGTCAGTCACTTTAGAATATTTGTTGTTTTTTTTGAGTATTTTTTTCTCAAATTTTCTACTATAGCTTTGTAAAGGATATTCGTGCCAACAACAAACAGTTTGTATCGTTGTACTGGTGCATTTCGACGGAGTCAATTGGAAATTTTATTTCTTTTACTATTAAAAGAAAAAAAAATTATTTAAAATAAAAATAAAATTAATAAAGTAAAAACAAAACAAATATTAAAAAATTTTTGAGTATTTTAAATAATAAAAAACGAACAGGGAAAAAATGAAAAACTTTATTGTAAAAATCAAAATGGACATAATGTCCGCCATTAAATCTTAAAACAAAAACAAAAAAAAAAGGGAAAAAGAGTTTTTTTTTTTGCAAGATTTGCAAAAGTTGGGTAAATTTTCGATTTTTATTTAATTTTTGTTGAAGTTAAAAAATATTATTAAAAAAACGCAATAAAAGAAAAAATAAACGATTTAGTAAAAGAAATTTGGATTTTCAATAAACTAAGACAAAAAAATAATTACAAGAGTTTTCATAATTAAATAATTAAAAATTTACAAAGATTTAGAAAAATTTTTAAAGGTTAAAAAATTTTTCTTGGTGTGAGTGTTTTTTAATTTTTTTAATTTTCTTTTTCTTCTGTTTCTATTTTTTTCTTGTTAGTTTTTTTTTTTGCGTACGTTAAGTTTTCCCATAAAATAACTGTGTAAAAACGATATAACAACAAAACAAAACCCCCTACTTTAAATTTATGTTGTTAAAATCAAAATAATAATCAAATAATTTAAATTTGCTTTCATAATTAATAAATAAATTTAAATGAAAAACCAATTTCGTATTTGTAAAAGCATAAGAAAAATCATTACCTAGGATAATCGTTTAAACAGGGGGAACACAAAACGGTTGAACAAGAAAAAAAACGTTTAAAAAAATCAAATAAATCCCATTCAAAGTGGATAATAAACAGTTAGTCTGGAAAACAGAAAAGAATAATAAGAATCAATTATACTTATACCAGCTGAATTCAGGCAACAACAATAGAATGGATAGCTCCAATACCAAAATGGAGGACCATTTCAAAAACGAAAATTTACATGTTTTCAATCATGGATTCTTTTCTGAATTTCGTAAGTACTTATTCACATACATATATGTATATATATACTATTTTATAGATCGTAATGTTTCTTGTTTAGAAAAAATATTGAAAATTTCGTTTTAAAATATTAAATACAATTAAAATATTATATTCATTTAGATTTATGTGTATACAAATATATACTAAAATACATTTTATATGTCCATATACGAATATATATTATATAAGTATACCGAATACAAATACTATTAAAATGAATTTATTTATACAATATCTGTAACTATATATACAATATATATAATAAGAGTTTACTTTGTAAATTCGTCAGTACTTGTATATAGCAAAATTATATAATATGTATGATTGCGATATTATGTATATAAAATGGTAAATAACAAACAAAAATATTTTACATACACAAACATCGTATATAATTATATAGAAATTATGTGCAATACTAAAATTTAAGTAGGAATTTTTATTTCTGTATACTTTGTAAATTTTACTTATATTTTTTAATTACTTGATACACATATGATATACATGCATATACTCGTATATACAGTCATTAAGATCTAACATTGTTTTCATTTCTAATAATTAAATCATAGATTAAAATTTAATATTTTTAATAATTTTACACGCAGTATTACATGGTATTTAAATAATACTGTTATATAAACTGTTATATATACTTGTATATACTGTTGAGTATAAATTATTGTTGGTAAAGGTACATGACTAATATTTTACAATTTATTATAATAAGTAATAAATATACTTATAAAAATATAAAAAAATAATACCGGTTAATCTTGATATTTTAAATTTACTGCATATGAAAAGTAAAAATCTGTGAATGGCATGAAAGTAAAATTATACCCATATATTAAAGAAAATTTAATATTAAATTGAATTATTAAATTCAAAATATTTCACAAGACGATTAACGCTTAAGAAACCGAGAAAACCTAAAGCATGCTGTAGTGGGCGGTAGTTTATAAATATACACTTAGGTAGATGCGTTCCAGGGAAATCCGCATATAAAAAAATCGCACAAAAAAGACATACATTCGCATATGCAAAATGATAGATACGTTCCATTTATTAAAAAAATCGCATAGAACCTAAATAATGTTTTAAAATGCACCAAAAATCGCATAAAAGAAGATTTATAAATAATTAAATTTAAATTTTTTTTCATCATATTTTAATAAATGGCACATCTGTATGTTAATAACAAAAACAAAACTTAATATGTAAAAAACATAAACAAAACTTCATTTAAAATCACATTAAGAATGTTTTCATCATTATTCGCTGTCTGATAATGTGCGAACTCGTTTGTGGATTGATGCAAGATCACTTTCATCACTTTAAGATAAAATTACGTCTTCAGATCTACATGGTAATGCTTCTTTAGGAACTTCAGTGATTTGTCTTTCTTTGACAAGGTAGTCAATTATCAAGCTGTGATGGTTTAACTAGTTCTTTGTAGAGTTCTTTGTAGCCAGACATACAGAATTTCAGATTACGTTGGAGTTTTAAGACGCGTTCTACATCATTATTACTTTGAATAAAAAATTTTTCCAATTTACCGGAAAGTTGAAGTCTTTCCCGAAGTAATTTTTCGTCCAGTGGAGTATTCTTATTCGTTTTCAGAAAAAGTGAATCATCAAAAAAAATTAAATTTCGAAATTCGAATAAATTTTTTTTTCTTGCACCGCATAACTCTAAAACGGCATAAAAAGAGAGCGAAGTGTACATGTAAATCAATGTTTATATAAATATTATATTATGTAGATATGAAAAAAGAGTACTTAAATGGAAATTCAAACTAAATTTTGAATGTATCAAATAAAAAGTGAATCTTAAATCACGATTTACACAGCCAAACATTGTTCATGAACTGGTAAAAGTTAAAATGTGCTTTGTTTGATTCAAAAAGTGTAATGCCCATTAAGTTTATGGCACCAATTTCACTTAAAGGAAATATTTAATTTGCTTATAAAATATAGAAAGAATTTCATAAATTTTATCTAAACTACAATTTTCTTTCCATTTTCAAAAAATATCGCCTAATGAGTAGAACCATTGGGAAATAATTTTCGTTATAGAGCATACTAAATATTATGTAGTTCTAGTCCCTAAAATTTATGCAATACTTTTTATTTTTTGAAATTATTTGTGCCATTAATAAAATTTTAAATTAATTATTGCATAAGTAGTTAATTGACCTACTGAAAGGAACTTCGTTTTTGAATGCTTGCACTTTAAAGTTGATTTGAAATTACCTTTAAAGTTTATTAAATTTTTTAAAAATCTTTCTCAATTTTTTTTTTCAGTTATTTTCAATTTAAGTTCTTTTCGAAAAACCTCAATCATCTTAATTTTGATTTAGCCAATATACAAAGTGATTCAGAAATCTATACAACAACGTATACCATTGTTTAGAAGATCGAAAATGGTTAAAACTTTTGTTACGGGCTGGGTTGACACCTTAAGAATTTCTGAGTTCCAGGGATTTGAACGAATTTTCACAAAATGTTCACTTATGCAAGTTTTTTGGATTGTAACTTTTATTCTCAAAAAGATAGGAACTTTAAACAAACACTTTCAGAAAGGCCTAGTAAAAAACTTAAAATAGACATGCTGGTTGATGCTGCATTTTATGTTCGGAATACCAAGCATTCAGATTGTAGGGAAAATCAAATTTTTCCCTTGATTTTGTCAGTTTTTTCTAGCTAGATAATTTCGTAAGAAATTTTTTGAAGTCTTGAAATTTTTGAGGATTTTGCCCAGCTGCTTAAACTTTAATTTAAGTCCTTAAAAAAATTTTTTATGGTACAGAAGATGTAGCATTATCAACTACCATTCATTTTTAGCACTTTTCCAAAAATTTTTTGAAAAAAAGTGCTTATTAGTTTCACTCTGTCCGTCTATCCGTCCGTCCGTCCGTCAGTCCGTCCGTCCGTCCGTCCGTCCGTGGACACTTTTTTTGTTTACAAAACGTTTACACCCTTGAAGATAGAAAGCTGAAATTTAATACGTCCATAGATCTTTACTAGAAACTTATTTCCGTTGAACAAAATTTTTACCTATCTCCTCCCCTCTAAAAGTTATACCCTCCCAAAACCCTAAAAATGGCCTTTCTTAAATATTTGTTGCAATGAAACCATAAGCATTTTTGAAATTTTGCAAACGAAGAAAGTCAGTGGCTTGCTTCCTCTAGCGCTGTATACTATAGTTAAACTTTAGAAAAACAAAATGGCCGTTCAAATTTACCGTTATATCAAGTCCTTTTTTTTTCCAAATTTTTGATGTCGTTTTTCTTCTAGACCCCAGACTGTAGGAGCTTGAAATTTTAGAAGAAAATTCGTTTCCTTCTCCACTCCCTCTCAAGTTATCGCTTCTTGAATTTTGTAAAAATTTGTAAAATTTAAAATCATTTTTCGTTTGAAGAAAATTTTTTTCCTTCTCCACCCCCTCTCAAGTTATCGCTTCTTGAATTTTGTAATATTTGAATTTTCGACACCTTATATTTCCGAAACCGCAAGCTTTTTCGAATTTCTATAAACTCAAAAAGCTAACGGTAAATTCCATGACTTTAAAAAATATAATTATTTTTCTTAACTCGCACAATTAAACCTTAAAACCGAGCATTATGTTAACCTCACTTTATATTAATTTTTGCTTTATTTTAAAGACTGCATAAATCGTTCATCCTAAATATATGCAATCCTAGAAATAGTTTTGTATATAAATGAAAATAATTTTAATAGTGTGATAGCTATACATAGACTGTATTTGTTGACATGTGTGATAGCTATACATAGACTGTAGACTTTTTGAAGGGAAAAGTGCTACAATACAAACCATTGGTTTGACCCAACTTTATTGATGACAAGAGTCACTCAAAAAAACAGTTGGCATTTTTAAGAGCCATTATGCTCTAAAATTATAACCCATCAGAATTTTAATGTTTTTATTGAAATGGAAACAAATAATAACAAAATTGAAACGAAATTTTATACAAACTTTTAATTTGAAGAACACAAATTGATTTTAAAAAATTTGAAATTTTTGAAAAGAAAAACTAGAATTTTCATTTTGAAAAAAAAAAAAAAAATCTAGTAATCAAAAAATTTTTTTCGAAACTTTTCTTGGTAAAAAAATTGATAGGTTTTTAATTTTTGCCAATTTTTATAAGAAATGGTACCTATATGGTTTGAAATTTTTAAATGCATTTTTCTCAGATTGGGTGCAATTTAAAAATTTGAAAAAAATATTTTCGAAATCTAGACACCATTTGGAATCTGAAATTATTAAAATTATCCAGATGGAGCGAATTTTCAAAGTCATGCCGTATAAATTTTGACATTTATTTTAATAGAAAAAAAATTTTTTAATAGGAAAATTTAATTTTTTTGAACAAAATGGAGTTTTTAAATGGTATGGTTTTAACATTATGAAGCTAATAAATAATTAAAAAATAAGTTAATAGGATTAATAAATTTTAAACATATTTCTAGAAAAACTGAAATTGGTGTACAGTTGATGCAACTGAAGAGGTGTTCCAGTAAAACAATTAATTTAAAATTTGCGATTGAATGGAAATAGATTTGAAAGAAGAAAAACATAAATGTTTTCAGAATTAGGTGAATGTTATAGGAAAATTTGGTGCTTGTTTTGAGAAATTTGTCAAATTTTTGGATAAAGAATTCGTATTTTTCCAAATATTTTGATAGAGGAATATTAAATTGAATTTAATTTTAGTTTTACCAACATCTAGTTTGGTTTTAATTGAATTTGTTGCCACAATGTTTGGGGTTTTTGTACTATATCTTCTGTACCATAAAAATTTTTTAATATTCGAGGGCTCAAATTAAAGTTTAAGCAGCTGGGAAAAATTCTTTAAAAAAAATTTTAAGATTTCAAAAAGCTTTTTACGAAATTATCTAGCTAGAAAAAATGCTCGATCTTCTAACCAATTATATATGATGTTGTATAGCTTTCTGAATCACCCTG